AATCCCCCGTGCAGCCGCATTCTGAACTAGCTGGAGCCTCCGGGTGCACCTCAAGGGGAGCCCCATGTAGAGAGCATTGCAATAGTCCAGGCGGGAAACAACGAGGGCTTGAGTGACTGTGCGTAGGGCGTCCCGATCCAGAAAGGGGCGCAACTGGCGTATCAGGCGAGCCTGATGAAAAGCCCCCCTGGCCACGGCCATCAAGTAGAATTTGCTCTATAGTAATAAGTCCAGATTTATAATTGGAACAGTAATTCTAATGTTTTCCAGTTTATATCCTGTAGCAGGAGCCTATCGTCCAAAACCTATAGTTGTCCCGTTTTAATTCATGGTATAATTTGGTATAATTCTTTTCAAATGAAATGCCTAGCTTCTCATCCCGTTGATAAGGCCCTGAATTCAAAAAGTAATCTACAGCAATCGCTTCTCAAGAATGGGCAAGCCCAAAATGGTACAGCAAATGAGTCAAGCCTCAGGAGTAAAGAGAATCTCAACTTCCTCAACTGTCTAGGAAAAATGTACCAGAACCTTTGCAAATCAACAATTAGTTCAGAACTCTTCCTCCTGGCAGTTCAATTTGCCCTCTTCTGTTAGTTAAATAAATAAATGCTTGATTGTAACATTTTATGTGGTAACTTTAGATCAGAGGTGCCCAAAAGGTTGGACCACCAACTGGTTGGACCAGTTACGTGGAGAGAGGTTTTTCCACAGACCAGCGGGGGCGTGGTTTTATGTGCTGCCTGCATCCCGTGGATGGGGTTTTGCTTGTTTGTGCAGACTGGTTGCTGGCATGCCATGGCGTAGTACTGGTCCACGGACTGGGCATTGGGACCCCCGACTTAGATGTAACTGTAAGCCACAGAGTTACCCTAGCCTAGGGTAAGAGTGGTGGCCAATAAATTTGTTTTATATATGTGTGTGTGTATATAGATGTGTGTGTGTGTGTGTGTGTGTGTGTTATATGTATATGTACAGTATATGTATATGTATATTGAGTATTTTTTGGGAACACCCGGTCTACCCAAATATGGGAAGGAAGCTTTTGCCTTTTTCAGCCCCAATCTAGGAGCTATCCCAGGCAACAGTCGCTACAGCGACAAATCATTTCTATGTTAAATTTGGATTGCCAACAAAGAGTTAAAGGGGAGACTAGTATAGCTATTTGGCTCTCATCGGCTAGTCGTACCCTTGAGATTCGAACCTGGGCTGCTTGCACGTTAGGCAGCTGTATTAACCTCTAGGCCACAGGCTCTTCTCACTTTTGTCAGATCCGAACCGAGCCCCATGGAGGGGGAGAATGAGGTTCTTATGGTAGCTACCTCGACACAACATGTACAAGGGGAGGACCGTAAGCATCCCGCTCCGGGGGTTAGAAACGTCGAAGGAGCTGAAAACAATAACAAGACTGCGGATTTACAACCCAGGCCTACGGGGGGAGCTGTTGTCCGCTCCCGTAGGGCAATACGACGAAAGGAAAGGGGTGAAAATATTATTGTTAAATCCATCCCCGGACAATGCCCAGTGAAGGAGGAGGAGAAAAAACACTGGGACAAGGAAATACGGAGGTGTTCACCCTGGAAGGCAGCTGGCATGGCTGAGTTCAGGCTCCGGGATGCACGCCCCAACCACAGCTACGATTTGAGAACCATTAAAAAGGGGAAGATAGAGCACACGTGTAACTGTGTTAATAATAGTTCCTGGGGAGCTGGGTTGACAGTAGAGCCGAACGATGTAAGTGATGGCAGGATGCCTCCGCCTTCCCCCATTGCAGGGTTAGATAGTAATGGCAGGATTGACACCCATGAGAAAGTAAGCAGAAGAAGTAAGGAGAAGTCGGATGATGTAAGTGAGGGCAGGATGCCTCCGACTTCTCTCACTGCAGGGTTAGATAGTAATGGCAGGATTGACACCCATGAGAAAGTAAGCAGAAGAAGTAAGGAGAAGCCGAACAGGACGGATACAACGTTTGATCGGCTGGGACCAATTACCAGATCCAGGAGTCGCGCGCAGGCATTGGCTGGTGTATAAAAGTATTTTCTCCCATTGAGTTATTTGTGCCCTGATGATGTTGGTAGATTCCAACGAAAGCTAGGTCTGTTATAGCATTTTAAAATCTTTTTAAAATTTTTAATGTTTTATTAAAACTTTTAATGA